AACATACCCATTATTTACAACAGTTTTCACATATTTGCCATGTTCTTACATTCGTATAGGATCTAATCACTAACTAATTAATAACTTAATACATAGCAAAGCACTTATTTAGGCCCACTTTATAATATAAATTAATCACAAAACCTAAAATATCAACTTTACAAAAAATTACTAAAATTGGAAGTTGTTTAGTTATTTAATTATGGTCCGATAGATAGACGAATACAATGTTATTAATAAACAATGAAATGTTCACAATATTAACTAAAGAGCTAAATGATTATCGATTGGAGCAAATCTTTACAAGAATGATCTATGAATGATGGTTTACAATATAAATTGTTCGGATCACAAGAATACTTTGTGGAACAAGCCCAAACAAATTGTCAACGACGTATTTGAAAAAAAATAATGTTAGTCTTACCACATTATATAAGCTTAGAAGATTTGCAATTTAAAACATGTTTACTTATCATGATATTGAATGAGATCCCATAATAATTTTATATCTTGATTTTTTTCTTCAGGCATGAGAATGTACAAGATGCTCAAAACTTATTATCCACTAACTTTTTTATTACTTAGACCAAACCCAACCTTGGGCTAAATGCTATTTTTTAGGTTTTATTCCCCCCCCCCAAAAAAAAAAACCCAAGCCAACCCATGCTAAACGTGTGGATTAAAAGCTAAAACCATAGTCTGAAATATCGATAATATCAACGAAATATCGAGGATATTTTGGTTTTTTCGAATCACGGATATTTCAGAACATATCCATGTACATATCGTACAAATATCGACAATATCCACGATAATATCGGAAAATATCGATGTCGATAATTTCGCTTACACTTCAGCAATATTTTGTCAAAATATCGATGTAATATCGCTAAAATATCGAAAGTATTGATGTAAAGGAAGAAAAAAAAAGAAGAAAAAAAGGGAAAAAAAGTAGGGAAAAAACACAAAGGGAATTTGAACCCCTCCCATTTTACTCCTCCAACACCGTAACCACCATATATCACTTATGTTTTAATGATAATATGCTAAAATATTTATATTTATATGAGTGGCATGTTAACAATTACATGCAAAACTATTTTGGGGATTTATCATTTGATGAATACTCTTCACAATAAACTTTCTCTACACATAGAGATGATGAAGATAGTGAAAATTTTGAACCTCATAGGAACTTTATGTGGTACTAAATCACTCATGTATCTTACCATGCAATGTATAAAGTGTAAAATATTGTAGTAAATCATTATATAAATGATTATTGTCACATCCCGACCCAGGTCCACCACATCCCTAGCCCGTTCCATCACCATAGCACGATATTGTCCGCTTTGGGCTTACCATTCCCTCACGGTTGTTTTTGGGAACTCACGAGCAACTTCCCAGTGGGTCACCCATCCTGGGAGTGCTCTGGCCTCCCTCTCACTTAACTTCGGAGTTCCTACGGAACCCAAAGCCAGTGAGCTCCCAAAAAGCCTCGTGCTAGGTAGGGATGTGAATATACATTTAAGGATCACTCCCATGAGCGATGTGGGATGTCACAATCCACCCCCCTTAGGGGCCCGACGTCCTCGTCGACACACTCCCGGCTAGGGATTGGCTCTGATACCATTTGTCACATCCCGACCCGGGTCCGCCACATCCCGGGCCCGTTCCATCACCATAGCACGATATTGTCCGCTTTGGGCTTACCATTCACGGTTTTGTTTTTGGGAACTCACGAGCAACTTCCCAGTGGGTCACCCATCCTAGGAGTGCTCTAGCCTCCATCTCGCTTAACTTCGGAGTTCCTACGGAACCCGAAGCCAGTGAGCTCCAAAAAGGCCTCATGCTAGGTAGAGATGTGAATATACATTTAAGGATCACTCCCCTGGGCGATGTGGGATATCACAATTATAGTGTGTTTAATCTTTTTTTCATTAATTACTACATATTTTCTACACTCACAGTGTTTGTCAGCTCGCTGTATAATCAACTTAAATCAGTTAAATCCATCATGTAATACATTTTCTTCTAATTTTTTTTTTGATAAACTAATAGATAATTGACTAAATAAACATTCTCCAAAGTTTCAATAAAAATTTCCAAGTTTTTCTTACAATTTTCGTGGTTTTTATTCAATTTTTATCGATATCGATAATATCTCGATATTTCCATCAAAATTTTCATGTTTTTGGACTACCGATATTTCCGATATCAACGATATTTTATACCATGGCTAAAACCTTAAAAAAAAGCCAGATTTAGCCCATGATTAGTGGGGCTAACTCACCATATATGTGTATTTTATTTAGTTTTATATTTATAAATTCATTGAATTCAACAGTTAAGATCTAATTTGATGAAATTTAACAGTAAAAATATATATTTAATGGTCCAAATTTAAATCTAACAGCTAAAGTAATTAAAAAAAATCTTTTATGTATTTCATATTTTTTTTCATAGTGTTTAATGAGTTTCATGGTGTCAATTTGTGATTTTTCAATATTTGTCAAAATCTAAATATTTTAAAGTTAAAATGTTCATAAAATTAAATTAGGATAGTCTACATAATTTTTTCTTTTAAAAAATTTACTTTAAGAAAAAAATTAGCCTAAATTCATTCATTAATAATTTGGGGCTAACATTTTTTGCCAGAAGGGTTGGAGCAGAAAAGCTGTTTTTGGGCTAAAACCTAAGGGTTTGTTTGGTATCTAACTTGAGAACAAAACTCAAAATTTTGATTTTTTCTAAAAACACATGTTTTGATTTAAAAATTTTAAATCCAAAACCTTGTTTGGTATGCAACTTCTCTAAACTAATAAAAAAAACACACATTTTGTGTTTTCAACAAATAAACTTTGTTTTCAAATATTTTTGGGTTGGAATTTTGAGAATTGTTTTCAAATCAAATACCAAACAAAAAACTTAAATTGTGACTCAAAACTTGTTTTTGAGTTAAAAATATTGGATCCAAATCCAATACCAAACAGGCCCTAAATTTTCTGAGCTAAAAAATTTAGATTTTAGCCCAAATGTTGGAAATGGTGGTAGGTGTTAGTAAATGTGGGAATGGAAATCATCCTCTTTCCTTTTCAAATTTTTGGTTGTTAGTGAATGATGGTGTGTACTCTTGGCACGTGTCAATGAAATTTTCTAGTGTCAAAGAATGACAGCTCCTGACACTAGGATAACTGAACAAAACTAAACTTGACAATGCATTATCCGCTTAATTGCGAGGAATTCCTAGAACGTTTCCTCTTATATTGGTTGCCAAGTTATCCAGCGGGGGAGCCAAACAATGAAAGATACGCGGGAGTTGGTTTCGCATAAATCCTTGACATGTCCATCTTACTTGAGTCTTGTTGTTAAGGAATTTCTTGCTTCCAATCCAATCCAATCAATCAAAGGAATTTCTTGCTGCAAAATCAACAAGCTGCAGTAAACGGGTGCAACTCCGTGGCGTTGTCCTGTTCAGACTCTTTAGTTCAACCTCTGCTGGATAACCAAAACCAGGTATGTATGTATGTGTATACATACATACATATATATGTATAAACAAACAAGATTCGAGACTTGATCAAGTAGGTACTTTAATCAAATGATTTTATTAATTAAGCATATATATATATATATATATATATTTCGTACGTACGTGCATGTGTAGTTTATGGAAGAAGAGGTTGCAGTTGCACTGGAAGCGAATCCGGAAAGAATGCAAGACTTGAGAAAGAAATTGGTGACATAAAGAGCAACGTCTCCAGGTTAGAAGCCAAGCTACACTCCCACGGGCCACATCCAAAGCATCAAACAGATCAGCTTTCGGTATTATATCGAATAATCGACCTCTTCATCGTTTGTTTTTAATTTACTTGACAGATGAAATCATCCAATTCTTCCTGCCCTTTCGGTAGGAAATTATAAAGCAACGTCGATCACATACTGTGTATTGTTTTTTTTTCTTTTCAATCTTTTGAGATGTATTATTTATTTATATCAAAGATGATGAAGAACAAGGAGAAGATTATGAAGAATTAAAGAAATTAAATGCCACTTTGGAGGATAAATTCATGGAGATGGCAAACACTATTGCTGATATCAAGTGTTCCTTATCTGGTCTAATGATGCCGATATGTATCATGCAAATGTTAATCATGAATTAAAACTAGTTTTAGTTTCTTCTTGTCGTGATCAATCAATCAGCTTCTAATTAAACATGTTTATCAACACACGTATATGTATATATGTGTGTGTGAATATATATATAACGGATCCAGCGTCCAGTTCTACGAGTAAGAGAACTAGTACGAGTGTGAGCGGCATATATGTAGGAGAAGAGAAGAAGAAGAAGATGATGATGATCAGACAGCAAGCTTGTCGACGGATATTTCTGCGTTGCTGATCGTTTTGGTAATTTTGATCTCTGTACTCATCGGGCTTCAACTTGTAGCCCTACCTACTCGCTGAATTTGCAATTGGCTTGCATTGCAATGTGCATGCAGCAAAAGTAGTAGATTTTTATGTGTCTTTAATTGCAATGACATCGGCACATTCGAGTCTCGGTATGCTCTACTCACCATGTACTTCGAAATAAAAGACGAGTGATATTTATCTTTTCAATGTTTTTAAATAACTAACAGTTAAGTATTCAGAAAATTTGATAAAACTAAATGAATGCATGGCTGGACTAAATTTTCATCTTTAATTAACTCAACTTTCTTACTTTGTGGGTAAATAACTCAACAAAGTGAACCTTCTCTCAGATGAGACTGTCATTAGTTGTTACTAATAATGCTATTCTGTTAAATTTTTTACCATGGTAACGCTTTACGTCACCGGTGGACGGCATGTGGAAGTGGAAGGCATGTGGAAGAAAGGAAATGCTCAGGAGACCATGTTTTAGGACCAACATATTGTGACGGTTGATGGTTGAATTTATTTTTGTTCAAGAAATGTCTGTGATCGTTAAATGGGAATAAAAAATTATACCAAAAACCAAAAACAATTCAATTTCCCCTCTTTATAATTTGCAAATTTTGCTTTCTCAGTAACTTCACTTTAGTTAATTTATAGATATACACCAGATCAATCAAATATTTTTCAAACAAAATCTAAACCGTCACAACCCCAATGCATCAAAAAGCAGAAGACATGTTCTGGCGTTTAATATCTCACATCAGATTTTATAAATTCATATTAACCAGCTGCCTGAAAATCCCCAAAGTCGTCATCTGGTATATCTTGAGTGCCTTGATTCCCAGAAGAGCTTGTTTCCTTCGACTCATGTTCCGTTGATTCCGAGGCCTCATGCTTAGAAGTTCCCTCAAGATTGAGATTTGGAGGCAAGTTTGAGGAAGACTTGTCAACAGTAGCAGAAGGCGAAAGTGGTGCCGGAGGAGGAGGTGGTGGTTTGATACAAATCAAGGGTTCTTTTTGGTTAGCCTTTTTCTCTGGTGAGTTGTTCTCAGAAACCTTGGACTTCACGATTTCGGCAGTTTTCTGTTGACACCGAAAGGAAATTCAATCAGCATGCTCCAGTAAGTAGCATAAGTAAAAGCACACATTTTGAAAGAAAATGCGATGCAGATCACTAACGTTCTTTAATTGTAGTACAATAGTCTCCCCCTCTTTTAAGCTGTAATCAACTAAGGAAGTTTGCTGAAATTTTTGTTCCATCTCTTCTGCAGTTTTCTTTTTGTCCAGATATCTTCAAAACAATTTAGAAAGGTATATGAGCTTGATAGACGGAAATTCATCCTCTGATATGCATGCATTAAAAAATCAAATCCCAAGCTTCTAAACATGTTATAGTAGAAAATGAAGAACAAGCAAAATTGTAACTGTACATATAGGACATACTTCATGTGATCATGCAAGGCGGCTTGGAAATCATAAGCTTCTGTTCTTTCTCGAAATCCAATGCCAATGAAAGCATGCCGAAGCCGACCATCTGCATAAATTTCAAAGTAATGAGGATCAAACATGAACAAGTCACTGGAAATAAAAATATAACTCAGAAGCCCGAAATTGCATCGCTGTCTGGTACAAAACTTTGGGAAAACAGGAATACAAGAGATAAGAAAAATAAAGTGAAACAAAAGAAGTGGCACAATACTTACAGATACGAGCCACAATTCTTGGTCAACTTCCTGGACTATGATTTTGTGGCAAAATGCCACATGATGATAGCACTAATTAACTTCAATGTTCTGGTCTACTCTTGTCCAAGCCACTATGGGCAAATGGAAGGCTTGTAAATATTAGCCCCTCTCCCACTACCGGGCATCTATTTGAAATTTTAAAAGTCATGCACGAAGTAATGCATGAGCTCTCATGCCTAGAATGGATATGTATCAGAGGATGAATTTCCGTGGTTTCTCTTGATCTATGGCAATTTTTCACTCAATGCCTTCTATATATGAATTATAGGCCAATGCACAACAGTAAAATGGGCAGGGGGAACATCTACCTTAGGAGTCGATAACGGACGGAAATACAAGCTAAAAAACTCTTTGAATTGTTCCGACTTTAGGTTACAGGATTCACTAAAACATTAAAGATTACAACAATAAAAACTCACCAATGTTCTCCTCTACACGTAGAACGAAGTATCTGCAGACCAAAAAACATTTTTTAGTCACCCTCTATATAACAGTAAAAATTTAATAAGATTCTGCGGTTCAATAAACGTAATGTAAAGGTATCTTTCTTGTGAGTAATGTAGTCGCATGATGTTTTAACATTAAGAGTCCGATAAAGATGTGCTCTAGTTCAGTGAGAATTAGGATAAACCTGCTGCTATCAATTACAGGTTCCACTGGATGAGGCTCTCCATTTCTCAAAAATGCCCGAGCATATAGTTCATCTGCAAGGACATATCACACAACAGTTTAAATAACAAACGTCTCATGGTACAAAAGGAAGGCATATAACACAGCTTTCATCTTATAAAAACTAAAATATCCTCACTCGTTTTCTTATCTTCAAGTCTGATAATGCACTCTTCTCCTTTGCTGATTACTTTCAATATCCCGTCCCATACCCATTTGTTTACATCCCATTCATCTGCCCTGAAATACACTTCAGAGACTTAAAATTGATCTCCAACACATGCAAAAAAGAGTTGAGGAAGTAATCAATGCCAATCGATAGAGCACTCTTCTTTTTGTTTGTTCGATCTAAGATTAAGAAGCACCTAATCTCAGGACTAATAAAACTCATCTCTGTATGTTTGCCTCTTTGTTGATTCCTTGCTTATGCGTCAATCTAACTCAACCTCGGAAAACTTATTCTCAAAATAGTCCATACAAAACCTCATACAATCTACCCTAACTTTAAGATCATTCCAATGTTACTGATCGATGTGTGGACGGAAGCATCAAAATTACAAATGCATCATATGATATCAACCATGATAACAGATGGCATCGTATCAGATCAATCATAAATAAACTGTGAAATGAATATCCTATTTTCTATCTATTCCATGAGTTGAGCAAAACCTGTATGAAGCGGCACTTTTCCTCGGCGGTATCTGCAAAACATTAAAAAATAGTTTAACACCACAGGTAACTTCAAGAACCCCCAACAAGAGTAACCAAACATTTCTCACATTATCGATTCCTTATGATTACTTGTAAACTCAAAATCAAGAGTCATGATTTTGTATTCGATGACAGATCGAAATCAAGCACTAAGTGGTTACTAACTTAAGTCAACACTTGAACTATCAAAAATATTCAATCTATTCCTCCATTACCCTAATTTTGCACTCAAATTAACAAAAATTAAAAAATTTATAATTTACATTTTATTCAGGAATTAACCAACATTTGCAATATGCCCGCCTATAAAATTCATTCATTCAACTAATACATGCATCAGTGTTCATCAAGAAATCTAGTTGAATTATACATTCCCAAGATACCAATTAACGGAATTACTAAAAAAATTCAGGAAAACACAAGGATTCGGACAAACGATGTATCCATGTATGTATATTACCAAGTATACGTAACATTCAGGCACTTGAAAAAGAACAAGCTCCAGAGCTTCAGCTTCCGTCTCTTCTTGCTCAGTCGGTACCGCCGGTTCCTTCTCCATCTTCCAGATTTGGGATCAGGATTCAGAACCAGTGAGATGGAATTTGAATCTGAAACTTCTGGTTTCTGAGGGTTGGGACTTGATCGGAATTTGGTAGGATATTTGGTACTATCTCTCTCTCTCTCCCTCCCTCTCTCCCTCTCTCAGACGATCACAAAGCGTTCGAGCTTCTTCTTCCTCTTCCAGTCCTTTCTATCTACAAGTGTTCTGGTCAGTAATTTTACAAGATACAACAGGGACCGTTGGATGAGATTACTTTTTCTAATCCTACGGTTAGTATCGTCAATCTAAGGCTTTTACTGTTTGCTGATTAAGCAAAAAATGGGGATTTTTCAACGGTTGTGATGAGCGGAAAGTCTATGGGAGACGGGAGTCAACCAAAAGTGTGATTTGGTGTAGAGAGAGATTTGGTTGAAGTTGGAGGGTCACCTCATTTCATGGGTACAAGGGAATATACTTTGGATTGCCCCAAGCACAAGCTTAAAGGCTATATGAGGGGCAATTTGAAGGGCTATTTTTACTCTCAAAATTTTAAATATATTCACCCAATCAAACTTACCTTTAAATAAAAGAAAAATAAAATTTAGATATAAGTTTTAAATATTTTTATCATCTGAAGCAGTCACATGTACTTAATGATGGAACCAGCATGAGATCATTAATTGTCCTTGATCCCAACAACTTAAAAAATTCATGCATATTTGGTTGAATATTATATTTGATCCCTATAAACAGCTAAAGCAAAACTAAATTACAACATTTTCCTCCTATTTCTTCTATTTTCATATATTATATTTGTCTTTCTTTTCTCTTTTGTTGTATGAAATACTTTAATTGAAAAGTCTTAATAGTCTCCAACATTATTCCACAGTATCTTACATCCACTATCGACAAGTCTCTACAAATAATGGTAGATGTTGACATATGTTAATAGTAATTGGCAGGTGTCTACTAGGTACTTGACAAAATGGCCCAGTAAAATTTTTTTGGTTGATATTATGGCCTCATTACTTGAAAATCCTAACTACGTTACTGATGTACTCCACCTCGTAATCAGTATTTTACCGACTTGAAAAAATAAGTTACATGACACGAATATTATGTTATGTGGAGTAAGGTGCTAATAAGTTAAGTCATTCTTTAAATAGACTTGATACCGGTTCACTATTAAAATTGTGAACCGAACTAAAAAGATAAATATGTGGTTCAGTTCGGTTTTCAAAAGATAACCAAACCATCCGGACCTAATTAATTTTGGCCGGGCTTTTGCTCCGTTCTTGTCAGTTTCTGGTTGCACCGAGTCGTCGGGTCGCCCTCGTCCCCTTCTCCGTTCTTCTCAGTTCGGACTTCTGAGGTGGGTTCTCTACTTCTTTCTCAGTGGTTGCCTTGATGTATGTTATGTGTGATATGGGTTAATTGTTAACAGATTTTTTATTAAGTTGATTGCTTTGATTTTTATAATTAATTGCTTTCTGGTTTCTCTAAATCTAATGCTTTGATAATTGCTTGTTAGTTGGTTGCAATTTGTGTTAATTTCTTACTACTCCTGATGAACTTTAGTTTGAGTTAACAATATTTGCCGTTGACGAGGGCAATGAGAGGACTCATGTTTAGTTATGTTGGTTGGGAACTTAGTACTTTGATATTCTGTTATGTACTTCGGATTTGAATCTTTGATCGAAGTGGCATATTTTTGTTATTCTTCTTTCAATTAGTTTTCTCGATTCGCTGTTTCGCTCTACCTGAAGAGAGGCCATGATCTGATCCATAATGTCAAGATAAGTACATTTCCATTGCCATGAAAATGATACAAAAAAACATAAAGTTCAGAAACTTATGTTCAACTTAACATGAATTACTGAATGCGGTCACTGTTTTTGTGTGCGGTCTTTTCATTTGTTTAAAATAGCAAATGTTGCAGTGTTACGCTACTCTTTAGTTCGTTATGGTATGAACTATGAAGTTGCTGCTTATAGTTAGATGTCATTAGGTTGAGTTCATTTGAGATACTGTCACCTGGTCTTAGAGATTGCTTCTGTAACATAAGCATGTTATGGTAGAGTTATGTTTTTCTCAATAGTTTAATACACCGGTCCTACCCAATGTGAATGCCTGTGTTTTTACTAATGTGTTAGTTCATGTTGCTCTTTTGTAGATATACCGATAACAGTAACTGAACAAAAATTCTGGATTGGATTTTGCATTGCGTATAAAGCAAACATGGTTGAGTTGAACCCGGGTATACTAATAGATATTGTGGATGAAGAATGGATGAGAAACACTCTTCCTGATGACGGTAGCATTTGCCTTCCCCCTTTTATGTGTCCCGACAAATGCATACATTGAAGAAGTTATCATCACATTATTTGTTGTTGGTCAATTGTTAAAATAGTCTTTTTGTTGTTTGCAGAGCTTCCCCTACCACCAGTGCTTGTTGTACAGACTGATGACACTGCAGATTCAAGTACGTCTTTTTATTCTTTAGGAAAAAAATTTCACCCACCGTGCCAGTTTTTCCATGGAGACGAAAATTATGGTTGGATGCTCTAACTTTCACACTATTGCATTTTGTGAGCCTTTCCATTAAACTCTCTTTTCACCCTTTCTCTCTTCTGTACACTCTTGCCAACAACGTTTTGCATAGACTTAAGAAAGGGGTTTCACTGGTCTCGGAATTGGTTAGACGATGACAGGATGGTATTTACATTTTCACCTTTTTAGCAATAGATTGTGTAGGCTTTCCTGCTATGAAAATGTGCCATTTTATACCTCTTTGGGAACAGATCCAAAGCATGGAGAGCAGAAGCAAGAGAGCTTAAGTCCGAATTAGAATAAAACAAGCCTTATTCTATCCCCCCCCCCCCGAGATTTGAAGATCAAAACTAAATGACATTCACATCCTCCATTTCTGTTTTCTGAACTCTTTAAAGCCCTAGTTTTTCAGGTACAAGGAATCTGATACGTCTTTGTGATGCAGACCACCGTTGGGTAATTAGAGGGTGTGGTTGCTGATTTGTGCAGACATGGATCCATTATTGAAATTCTAATGGTTAAGGGGTGTGATTAGCTAAGGATTTCGGTAGGCGATAGTCAAAGCCTTTTTGAATTTTCAATAAATTAACGAGTGAGGATTTTGAAAGATGTTTACGAACTATTAGGCAGCTATTTCTCTGCTTGTTTGTCTGAAATGTTTTGGAAGAGCATCAGTATATCCTACCATACTTTGGTATCATTAATTTGCTGTGGTAAATATAATTCTACTGATGTGCCGCCACTATAAGAGCGAAAGATGGGGTAAATTCTATGGAAGGGGAGGGATTTTTGGAGCTCAGGCACAATATTTGTTTGGACTGTTTTGTTTATTTGTTTCTTAAGTTTTCTTGTGGAAAAATATTATTCGTACTGATCTCTTTTTCATTATTTCTGGATTGATCAGATCAAGAGACTCAACAAGTTGATGCGGATGGTTGGCATGATCTTGCATTACCTTCCAGTGATTTTTCTTCTTCTTTTGGCAATGCTTCTTGAAATGAATTGGATTGTTGTCTTAATGTGATCTTCTAACATGAAGCTGATCATGTGCAACACTCTAATCTGCATTAGTTATAAGTAGATTTTGCATATTATTAAGTTTTTAATTTATCCGCCAACGCATTTTGGCATTCGCCATATTTTCATGGTTGTTGGAACATACCCAAACCCCCGAAAAGCTCGGGGTTTCTGAAAATTGCATGTTTATCAATCAGAGCTTGGTTAACAGGTTTGATGGAAAAGCAACAACTTACACTCCGGTGCAAAAACATTTACATCGACATTGAATTAGAATTACTTGCGATCGAATAACGAATCCTTATTGCTCATCTCGGGCTGTTGATCGAATAACGAATACATCAGCAATTCCTCGTGATTCCGTTTTCAATTTTCACCGGAGGTATTGTCTGTGGCGGAGAACTTGTTCTTAATACGAAACCTCAAAAGCATCGGCGGGGAAATGATCATAAGACGGCATTGCTTCTTTCTCTCCAGATTTAGTCCAAGAACCAGTTATCCTCAGGGCCATATAATTTGCTTTCCTTTTTGTACCTCTAAGCAAGTTACTCTCAGACGCTTTCAGCTTTCTGTTTTCTTCCAACTCGAGAGCCTTCTCTTCTTTCGGCACATTTTCTTCGCGCACATTGGATTTCTCAGGCAAATTCTGAACCTCGAGTAGCGACTGATCCCCGATTCTCAGCTCCTCCAGCAGCAACCTTGCAAATGGGTTATCAAGAAGCATGATCTCGGGCTCCTTTTCGCCAATTGGTGCAGTGTCTTTCAATTCCATGGGAAGAAACTTTCAGGACTATCTTCTTGATTTGCCTTTCTTCTTGGTTTCTTGCTTTCTTCTCTAAACTTGAAGACCTGTGAACAAAAATGTACTGCCTGCTCTGTGTTCTAACAGAGTTGAGATTGTTTTTGTAAGTAGTTTAATCGACAAACTATTGGAGGGAAAATAAACTGACTGATCGATACATACACTTACCCAACGCCGTGATCTTCAAAGTTGTCCTTCTACTCTCTTTCAGAAGATCGAATGCACAACTAACAATAGATTTTCGTTCGATAAAAACCATGTCAATTTATATAGACGATCAATCCATATGTTTCTGCTATTAGAATTCGTGTTGAAAAGCAAAATAGTCTCCTTGTCAAACTATAAGTGGTAAAACCGTTTCATACATTAAGCACAATTTCATTTGAATTAGGATATGTATTTATCTTTTCATAAGACTTTAAAACTAATGGGAACTCTAATTGCCGACCTAATTTGAACTCTAATAGCCTAAATGCCTTAGACTTATGCTCATACTATAATAGTACGTGTCATTGGTCCATTATAACTCATACATCAATATTATATAAGATATTTTGGCAGAAACACAATTAATAATTAAGTTGATGTTCGGTGCAACCGGCAACTATTTCTTCATAAAATCGGCCATTGTTTCTTCATAAATTTTTGGTTATGAAGATTTAGTTGTCAGTGCTAGCAAATTTCAACTTAATAATGATACTACCATTGACTTAAACTTTAACTTAATTATGATGCTGTCACCGTCTCTTGTGCTTATGGTTATAAGTTCATTAGATTTTTTGGATTAAATTAAACTAAGTAGTGACTGAAACCCTACTCATATATAGTTTAAGTTTTATCATATATTCATATGTAAATGCATAATATATTCAAGGTACTAACGAAACTTAAAAATAATAACTCCATAAATCATATATTCATATATAAATGCATAATATATTCAAAAATATCATAGGAATTTCATATGCAAAGTTTTCACATAATATTAAACTCACTCACCGCCCCTTAATACAATGGCCTAATAGTATTACTTTTCACTTGTAAGTGAGAGTCATTAAATTCATATCTCGTAAATGACGAGTCCAATGCTAATTTATTCTTCATTTGTTAGTGTAAATATATTGTTGTAGGCCACTAGTAATACTCAACGCATGTAAATCGAGATGCCGAGATGCTCAAGTAGTATCGACAACACTAGGATTAAACACACAACTAAACTTCGAAACTCTATTGCAATTGACACGTGAACATGTGGTAAGGTGCCATCTACACACAAATCAAGGCACATGTTGCACAGGATGACACACTCACTGTGATGAGCCCATTAAACTCCCTTAAGTCTCTAAACACCAACGTAAATTGGGTGCATTTTTGCTCACCACCCTACTTAGTATCATTGGATGAGTTTAAATTTTAAATTTGTGTCTACTCACTGCACAGAGCTCGAAATTTAAACTCATCTAACGGTAATGAATAGACCGGTGAACATCACGATCACAATAGGGTGGAGAACTCATCTCTTTAATGCCTCACAATAGGCTATTCATCAAAGATGATCCTTGATGTAAAACTTACGTTGTATCATATTTTCAAAGAGCTACATCATTGATTAGGCTCTCATCGCTGCAGATATGTAGTAGTCCTTTTTGGATTCAATCACACCCCTGGTCAAAACCCCTCTCCATTTGTCTACTCTTATTAGAAGGAGGAAAAATAGGTTGGAAAGACTTAAAGATGGCTCTGGTGTTTGGAAGGAAGGATAGGAGGATCTGAAAGTTGTGGTGGTTGATTATTTCAAAGAGTTGGTCACTGATAGAAGTTCTAATCAGTCTTTCATGAATTTGCCCATTTTTTCCCTCTGTTGTTGGAGGATGAAGTTAGAGATCTTAATGCTCAAGTTAATAATTCTGTAATCAAGGATTGTTTGTTTGCTATTGGCCCCCTTAAAGCTCCTGGTATTGATGGGTTTCCTGCCCTCTTCTTTCAGCATTGGTGGAATGAGTGTGCTAATGATGTCACCGTTTTTGTTCAGCATTGTTTTCAGCATAACAAAATTCCTCCTGGTATCAATGAAATGCTTATCATTCTATTATCCAAAGTCCCGAATCCAATTTCTATGAATCAAATTAGGCCCATCAATTTATGTACTACAATGTATAAAGTAATTTCCAAACTTTTGGTTTGCAAACTGCAACCTCTAATGGAGAAGATTATTAGCCCAAATCAAGTCAGTTTTGTTCCTGGTTGTCATATAACAGATAATATTGTGATGGCTCAGGAAGTTCTGCATAAGTTTAAGCTTGCTAAAGGAAAAAAATAGCTTCTTGGCTTGGAAAATTGATTTGTCTAAAGCTTATGACAAATTATCATGGGATTTCATTGCTTATGTTCTTTATGAAATTGGTATTGATGGAAGCTTACTCCAACTCCTCTTGAGCTTTATAAGTTTTGTCAACTTCAGAGCTATTGTTAATAGAGAACTTTCTTATGCTTTTCAACCAGGTTGTGGTATAAGACAAGGAGATCCTCTTTCTCCTTATTTTTTTATTATTTCCGTGGAGAAGCTAAGTCATTTGATTACCTATGAAGTTAATAAGAAAACATGGAAACCTATCAAAGTGTCAAGTGGAGATCCTGGTATTTCCCACCCATTTTTTGCATATGATCTTCTAGTTTTTACTAAAGCTATTGTTACACAAGCAAGGATTGTCAAGTCCTGCATTGATAAGTTATGTGCCTTTTCCAATGAATTAGTTAATTTTGAGAAGTCAAAGCTTTTTGTTTCTCCGAATATTGGGAGAAGACTGGCTCGTAAAATCAACAGGATATGTGGCTCAAATGTAGCTAGCTCGCTTGGGACATATCTTGGGAGTTCCTTTATTGCATAAAAGAGTCAATAAAGCAACCTATCAATATGTGGTAGATAAAGTTCAGATGAAGTTGTCTTCTTGAAAGAGTAAAATGCTTTCTATGGTAGGTAGGTTTACTTTAATTAAGTCTGTTGCTTCTGCTATACCAGTCTATACTATGCAAATAGCTAGCATTCCTATCAATATTTATGATTCTCTTGATAAAATCAATAGAAACTTTCTTTGGCATAATGTGGATGATAGAGCCAAACCTCACCTTGTGAGTTGGAACAAAGTTAGTTATATGATTAAAAGGGGTCTTAGCATTAAAAAAACAAATCAAATGAATAGGGCCCTTCTTGCTAAATCAGGTTGGAGGTTACTGAATAAGGACAATGGTTTATGGGCTAATATGTGTAGGAAAAAGTATCTCAAACATGGTGAGGCTGATCTTTTTAAATTTAAAGTATGGAAGGGTGATTCTTCTTCTTGGAGGAATATTACTCATGGTGTTGAGACCTTACATAAAGGCCTTAAATGGAGAATTTGAAATGGTCAAAATACAAATTTTTGGTCTGATATTTAGGTTGGAAATGATGCCTTGATTAATTATGCTCTGCCTTCAGTTCATGGTTTTGATCCAAATTTAAAAGTTGCAGACTTCATTGAGAATGGGTCTTGGAATGTTGATAAGTTAAGTCTTATGATTCCTCCCTATGTTATACAGAACATTCTTTGAATTCTGGCTGTTTTGTCCTGTGGTGGCAATGACTCAATGATCTGGAGTGGCACCAATAATGGAGAGTTTAATGTGAAAAGTGGCTATCCTATGAATTTTCCAAACCAGGAATTTGCTGACAGTTCTTGGGCTTTCATTTGGAAAATCAAGTTGCCTCCTAAAATTAAATGCTTTCTTTGGATTTTGTCTCACAATAAACCGCTAACTAATGAGCAACGTTTTAAAAGACAAATGTCTAGCAACACTTTTTGTCAGATTTGTAGTTATGCAGTGGAGAATATATTGCATGTTTTCTCAAGTTGTCGTGCTGCTATATGGGTCTGGAGAAATATTTATGTTCCACATCATCTTCATTGGAACCAATTTGATTCCTTCCCTGGTTGTGTGGCAAATTTATAATGCAATGATCTGCATGAGCTTGGGTTACCTTGGAATCTTGTTTTTGCTGTAGCCTTATGGTTCATATGGAAGTGGAGGTGTTGTGCTATATTTTGTCCTAATTTTATTAAACCTCTTGATCCAAAGAAATGCATATTGGAGTATTCTACTCAATGGCTCAAAGCTAATGTTAGTATCTCTAGTAAACACAACTCTGTGCAGGTTCTCTTAGCTTGGGTTCCTCATCTGTCTGGGACTTTTAAGTTAAATGTGGATGGTGCTAGGCTTGGTTCTAATGGGGTGATTGGAAGTGAATGACTAATTAGAGACTGGCACGGTAATTGGATCACTGGTTTTATTGCTAAAAAATGAGTTGGGAAAGTCCTCCATGCTGAGCTTTGGGCTTTGTTTTATGGGTTAAAGTTAACTAAAGCTAGAAATTTCTCTCATCTTATTGTGGAGGTTGATTCTACTTTCATGGTTTCTCTCATTCATGGTTCACCTAGCCTTATTAATCAACCTCTCTATGGTCTTGTCTCGGAGTGCAGAAGTTTGATCATAGAGAATTGGTGTTGTAATGTGCAACATGTTCATAGAAAACATAATTTTGCAGCTGACGGGTTAGCCAAATTGAATTTAAATAGCGAGATGGAGTTTCAAGAGCTTGTGGAGCCTCCTCTTTGTTTAGTTCAAACTCTTTCGGATGACTGCTCTGGAGTTGCTACAGCTAATTAGTTGTTTCTTAGTGTTTTCTTTTTCTTCTTCCATGTTTTCGAAGAAAAAAAAAAAGAATTATCAAAGTTTAATTATCTCACATTTATTGCATGTTTGTTCATTTTTTATTTATTTATTTTTTGCAGTGTAAAGGATACCCCTAAAATCCCTAATAACATACAGTTTTGAAACTTTGCATCATTTCAAGTCTAAAAATTCAAAGTGATAGTGTTAGAAAAGTCTCCTTTACCCATTCTATAGTGATCAGTTAGCAACTTGGAAGGTTTGAGCCTTATTAAGCGCAGTTACGATAGGCAGGCTATAGACATAGGGACATGGCCCCTTAATCCGAAAATCTAACAGACCAATCAACTTCTAGAAAGCTTATACAATTTAAAGGTTGTGGTTTATGAAATTCAAACCTAAGCTTTACATCATTCAAGGGAATAATCAAAAGGGCGATCCAGAAATAAGTCGAGGGGTGGCTATGAACTCTGACCCTAAGTATGATTACTTCCATCATCGACCAACGTACTCAGTCAAGTACGTTTTGCGATACCATGTGTTTATGCAAGTTCGAATGAGGCATCCAGACTAGGAATCCTCATGATGAGTTTTGTTCCAAATGAGCTATGATACATAGAAATGCCTTAGCCAAGTTAACTAAATATAATTCGATCAAAAACGCTCAGGTCCGGCGCATTG